AGAAGGTCTTCTCTGGTACGATGTGAGACAGGCAAAGGAGAGGCTGTCCTTGGAGGAGCTGATGCCTGAGTGCACAGGGGGTGCACAGAGCACTATCCCCTCTGTGCTTTCTGTAATTGGTTTTATGCTCTAACACTTGCTGTGGCTTATAATTTTCTGTCCTTGCTCTGAAATTATAGAGGAGTGAAAGGGAGATGAGTTTCAGCTGTCAGTGCTTCAGGAGCATTCAGCAGTGCTGCTGGATGAAAGGAGTGATGGGGTGGTTTGCTCTGTAGAGGTCTCAGAAATACCCAGGCATGAAGCTCTGCGTGCTTCAGGCTTGGAGGAAAGGAAGGTAGGAGCCAGTGCCAGCCCTCGGTCATTCCCCGGCTGCTGGAGCTCTTTGAGGAAGTCGTACATCTGGTGCTTTCCCATTTAGCCCTTTCAAGAGGCTCGTTTGAGAGCAAGGTTTGAAAGGAAGAGCCAGAAATAAACAGCTTGTGATCCCATTTGTGGGACGAGAGGAACATAAGAAGAGAATCATTAAAGATGGGACGATCAGTGAACAAAGCCTGGTTCTTAACAAGGCTGACAGTTTGCTATGTCTATTAGAAGACTGTTGTGTGTTACATGACTTTCTGTAGCATGTGGAGGAAAAGAAAATCTATTTTTTGTACCTTTGGCTCTCTAGGAGCTTTTAAAAACAGGAGGGTTTTCTGTTTGTCAGCCCTGCTCCTCTGATGTTCTCCATGAGGTTTAATATCATCTCCTGTGCCCCGTCAATTCAGTTGTTGTTTCCCCAGCTGCTCTGAGATATTGTCCCATTGCAGCTAGGACACTATCAGTGACTATGGCCAGGTATCACAGCTCAGATTCCTTTCTGTTTGTGTTAACCATGGTGACCATCAGGTTTGGAACTCCCACGTGTTTACTCTGCTTGGCCACCTGTCCCCTCTTGGTGGAGAGGAGAGGAGTGCAGGGTGCTGGCTGCAGCCAAAGGGTGCTGTGCTCCTGAATGACAGCAACACAGACACAGGGAAAGGAGCCAATGCATGAAATCCAAGCACTGCTGTGATAAGGAGTGGGAGATAGTGCTGCAGTTAATATTGAACCAGGATTGTTGCATGGGTGCAGCATGACAGGGGCAAACACAGCAGGAGCACCACCAGGTGCAATGGGCCACGTGGTGGCCAACAGCCAAGTGTGGGAGGCATGTAGAGCATGGCTTTGGTGGTGTCCAGGACCACCATGGGACACCCTGCCATGGGGGGAAGCAGAGGTCTCACGGAGTCTCTTCTCCTCACCCCTGAGTATATGAATATATCATCCTTTTATAGCAGTGTGCATATCACTGGGGCTCCCACCAGCCTCCTGAAGTCCTTGGGTTTCCTTATTACTGGGGAAAGCAATGGCACTGTGGTGGTGTCAGTAAGAAGGGTGATGTCAGATGAGTTGAGGCCACCTCTGCTCATGACCCAAAGTAGGAGGTTCCTTTTGGACCTGTCTGGGTCCTCTACAGGTACAGATCATTAACCCTGGACACATCATTAGGGCTGTAAACCATCTCTGTCTTCTAATATGTAACTGTGCCCTAGCCCAGCACCTCGAAGAGATCACTGGTTGTTGATGTGACTCTTACCAAAGGGGGTTAATAGCTCTCTCAGAAACATTTCCTATTTAATAAGCTATTAACTAAAATCGGGGGGGGGGGGGGGGGTGGAAGTGACAATATTGAGACAGGTGAAATGAGAAGCAGCAGTTATGTCAACTCACAGGCTGCTGTTTCTTCTGTTATTTTTCACATTTTAGCACATCTGCTGCATGAGCGTGGTGGGGAGCACTCATCACCCCCCTTTTGGTACCACAAGATGTTTTTGCTGGGTCATCACCAGCCTTGGACAGATGAGAGCTGTGGAGCCCAGACGTGAGGAACAATCTTCCTTTCTCCTAGACAAGGTGCTGGGAAGCAGCAGCACCCTCACCTGCAGCACTGTTGTGTGATTTTCTCACCCACAATCCTAAAACCCTTTAAAAGTTGCCAGGAAACGTGATCTGGAAACCCTTCCCCTCTGCTTTACCCTCCTGGGTGCCACTGCAGTGATACTCACATTAAAAGAACAGCCTCACTAAGTACTCACTCCACAGACGTTTGGTCCAAAGGGCTGTGTGAGTATAAAAGCATCACTTTAGTGCATTCAATTTGTATAAAATTATGCAACAGTGAGTGCTCAGGATTGCCCCACCCGCCGCTCTGAGCCACAGCAGCAATTTTGATGGGGAGGTGGACTTCTTATCAACTGTGATTTTCTCAAATCTGTGGAGTGAGGGAGACAACAGCGCTCTGAGTAGGAACACAAAAAAATCCCCAAAACACTCAGGTCAAAAAGGAGCTGGCAGAAGTTCACCAGCCACGTGAGTGCCCCACGGATGTGGGTCCTGGTGGGGATGCTGCAGAGCCCGGCTGTGGGAGCCCTGTGCAGGGACAGCCCCACTGCCAGCCACGTGGGATTCCCTGCCAGAGGGTTTGTCACCGTGGGGTCACGGGGAGGTTGGCAGAGCCTGTCACCACTGGGAAGAGAAGTGCTCCTGATGTGAAATGGGTCAGGAGGGTGGTGTCACTCTTCCCCTTCTGGCTGCGTGATGGAGCACCATGGGTTTGTTCAGGCTCTGCATCCTGTCTGCTCCTTAGTGTTACCCACAACTTGAGCTTGCTCCAACTCAAACCTATTTTGGACAAACAAGCAATTTCCTTGCACATGAAGTCACTTGAATAGTTTCTTTGGGGTTAGGGGGGGAGAAATGGTAGCTAACATCTTTGTTCTGCCCTGAAGTCTGCCTTTACCTCAGTTTCTGTTCCAAAGAGGAGAAAATACTGGACTACAAACCCACTTCTTGCTGAGAAATCACAACAGCTATGAGCAGAGGTTGCTGGAAAATCAAAGGGTTTGTGCAAGGGAAGAAATGCAGCTAATCCCAGCTGGGGAGCCGTTGCCCCAGCAGCTGGATTCTCCTCCTGCCTCTCATCACGGTTCTTGATGTCCTTCTGGTATGAGAACCAGCCTTTGGATGCACAGATAAAGGATAATTCCCAGAGTACAGTTGCTTCAAGGTGTCTCATAAAGGGGAGACCTCATAAAATGTAGAATAAGGTTCCTGCCACAGCATGCTGCTGGGGTTCAGCTCTTCAGGGCAGCCTGGGGAAGCAGGATTCAGGCACACACCTCTATAAACCAGTGCATGGATGGCTGTCAGCCACAGGCTATGTGAATCCTTGAGCACAGGGCAGCTGTGCAAAGCTGGAGATGTCTGAGACATTGTCCTACCCAAAACAGCAGCGCTGCCTCTTGGCTCTTCCACGTGGGTGTGGAGTTGACCCCTGGAGCCACCGGCAGCTTGGCACCCACACCATGTGTTTTATGAGGTGAAAGAAATGCTTGGCCAAAGGTAGAAACCATTGCCTTTGCAGAAAACACACGGGGTCCCTGGCTGGGTCTCATCTCCCCTCTGCCATGGGGGTCTGCTGGTGGGCTCAGGGGTGCCATGGTTTAAACCCAGCCAGCAGCTCAGCACCACGCAGCAGCTCACTCCTTCCTCCCAGGGGGATGGGGAGGAGAAGCCAAAGAAAGTAAAAGTCATGGGTTGAGATAAGAACAGTTTAATAATTGAAATAAAATTGAGTAATAACAATATCAATAATAATAATATTTTTAATGAAAAGGAGTATAACAAAAAAAGGGAGAAATAAAACCCAAGGAAAGAAAAGTGATGCTCTGAGCAGCACTCAGCCCCTCCCAGCCAACTCCCCCCAGTTTAGATACCCAGCATGATGTTCCGTGGTATGGAATATCCCTCTGGCTAGTCCAGGTCAGCTGTCCTGGCCATGCTCCCTCCCAGTTTCTTGTGCTCCAGCTTACTGGCAGAGCATGGGAAACTGAGAAATCCTTGACTTAGGACAAGCACTACTTAGCAACAACTACAACAGCAGTGTGTCACCAACAATATTCTCACACTAAGTCCAAAATACAGCTATTAGGAAAAAAAATAACTCTGTCCCAGCAAATATGAGGAGAAGAGGATGTGGGGAAGGGGACCACACTGGATTGCACAGGGGAGGAGACTCACGTCCCTTCCCAAGGTGATGGGGATGAGGGAGACCACATAAGTGAGGATAACTGAGGATAACAGAGCTCCTTCAGCCCTGGGCAGGTGTGTCCCACCAGGTCTGTCTCCTGCAGCCCCTTCTCTCTTGGACCCCAAAGAGGAGGTGCAGAAGGAGAAGATAAATGGGTGTGGGGAGAGGCAGAAGGGAAGGTGTATTTGCACAGCCAGAAACCCCCCAGGAGCCTGGGGGGCTGAGGGGTGGACATGGACATTAGTGGTTCCTTGGCCCTCCCAATTATACCTCTCAGTAAAAGTGATCCACCTCTAGGAGGAGAAGGTACATGTAAATGTAGGACCACCTCAGTATAATGAATTAGGTAATAGCATAATAAATTAGGTAATTGATAGAGCATATGCACAGAGATTCCTGGGATGTGGAAACATGTAACCAATCATATACAGCTCGTTATTTATACTGTATATAAACTGCTGCTGCTTGAGCTAATGGGGTGCTGGATTTGCAATTTATTGCCTAGTGCCTGTTTCTGCAGAACCAAAATGAAGTGACCCTGGGTCTGTGTGCCACCAGGCTTTGCACACCAGGGAAAGGACCCTTTCTGGGGACTACAGAAGCAGGTGGAGGGGGTGAAGGATGTGGATGCCCTTTGCTATCTTTTCCTCTTGTAAAAACTGTCCTTTTAGCAGTTTCTTATCTCAGGATGTGTGGGGCTGGGTGTTTTATGGCTACCTCAGTGCAGGGAGGAGCCTATCCAAGGGTTAAAGTATGAGCAACTGAGCAAACAAGACAACTCCTCCTTCACCACCATGTGAGCTAAAGGTCAGAGGGGAAAAAAAACCATCATCAACGGAGTGCGGCTGCGCAGGAGCTTGGATGATCTCAGGACAGGCTGGGGGACACAATGGATCTATTGCCAAACTTTTCTTTTGTCACTTGGCTGCTCCTCCTAGTTTTCCTTAGCCTCCTGGTCCTGTAAGTAGAGACTGCTTCCCTTGGGTGACAGGGAGGAGAACCCTGTGCCTGCAGCTGGGCAGGGGCTGGGGCTGTCACCCTCGCTTTGAAGTGCCCAAGAACATGAATTAGTGACCGAAGCCCACCCTGGGTGCCACCTTGGCAGAGCTAAGGGCTGGTAAAGGGGGGCTGGGGGGCTCCCCGTGCCCTCGGTGCCAGCTGGAAGGGAAGGAGGAAGCTGGTCTGGGTGGGGAGGGCAATGAAAAGGAACTTCCTGGGTTTCGTTTCTCTGGTTTGTTTTTGTCAGCAGATCTAAAAGGAGAAGCAGCTTCCCTGGTTTGAACCACAGCGTGCTTTGGGAGGCTGCAGAGAGGAGAGGGTGTCCTGGGGCTCTGCAGGCTGGGCAGGGGTGATGTCTGTGTCTGCCACCCGTGTGCTTGTGCCAGCAGATGCCCCCGTTTGAATGGTTACGTTGGCAAAATCGCTTCTGTCACCCAGGGGAGCTGTAGTGAGCTACACAGGCAAAAATGGAACTTGGCTGTGGCAATTTCTGTCCCTGCTCGGCTGCAGGGCTGCTGTGGCTCTGCCACCTGAGCGCCCCGGGAGGGCTTGGCAAAGACAAACACAAGGACAGGTCTCAGCTTGAGAACTTCATCCTTCTGAGACCCCTCTGCAGTCACAGGTTTCTAATCTGAGGCAGTAAATGAGGCCCCTGGATGGAGACCAGAGGTGCCCAGGAGCACCGTGTGGGGCTGGGCTGGGCTGCAGCTCCTTCCAGCCCCTCTCTTGCCTCAGCACATATAGTAAAATTGCCTCTTTCACCCCAGGTGACACTGCATTTATTGCAGGGAGAGTGTGTCCTCAGCAGGTCTGCTGCTGCTGGTCTGTGATTTTAGCTTTCTCTGAGTGTCAGGAATGAGTGATTTAAGCTGTTCACCATGCTCAGAATGAATGCTCTTTTCATTGCACAAATGCATCTCACTTGGAGATCTCTTTCCTTGGCAGCTATGGGGTATGGCCCTTCTGGACCTTCAAGAAGCTGGGCATCCCTGGCCCACAGCCTGTGCCATTTTTGGGAACCTTCCTGGGGTACCGTCATGTGAGTACCAGTAGCTGCTGCTCTGTAGCTGCCTCAGAATCTTACTTGTTGGGTTTTCCCACCCCTTGTGCATCCCTTTCCTCTGCCTTTGATCCAGGCAGCTGGAAATGCTGCTTGCAGGTAGGAAGCTCTTTGGACACACAGAGATCACAAAAATTCAGGTTGACCTGAATGAGGTGTGCTGGTTTTTCCAAGTACTTTGTAACTTCAGTTATTAGCTCCTCCCTGGATTTCTCCCTGCTTCCCTGCAGCTGAAGTTCTGTTAGAAACAACAAAAATATGCTGGAGAAATGCCTAAGACTGCTCATTTCTGAGGACTGCATGTTTCTTTGGGCTTAGTGTCGTGCTCATGAAGAGGCTGAATTAGCCCTATCCATCCTCTTGCTGTTGACTAAAGCCAGATAAATGGACTTCTAAATAAAATCCAGATATTAGCAAGTTACCAAACCTTACCAAGTAACTGCAGAGTAGCTGGTCCCAGGCAACTGTAAAAGCAGGCAAAAGGTTCCAGCTGCAGTGAAAGAGGTGGTTTAGCTGGGTGTGTTTGGTGGGTGTACAGCTTGCACGTGGTCTCTTAGATGATGCAAGGTGAGTGTTACGTGTCCCATAAGTTTCACCCTCACATGTAAGACCAGTTAAAACATGAATGGAAACAAAGCAAAACAAAAAAAAAAGCCATCATTGCTCTGGTGTAGTGACTGCAGTGGAAGATCTCACGAGGACAAGGCAGTAGCAGCTCTAACTTGTTGGGCTGAAGATAAAGGACACCCTGGGATCTAGTTCTGCCTGCTAACTCTCTTTGCACTAAAAAGGTGGACCCCATTGTGCCTTGTCTTTGTGACATTTTTAGCTCAGGTTGGCTAGTGGAAGTTGAAAGTACTGCTTTTTTTTTTTTTTTTTTTTAATTTTCCCATTTCTGCTCCCTTTTTTCCCTCCAGTGCAAATATCCCCCAAGTGTCTATATGGTTCCTAAGAGCTGCCATGCACCCCCAGCCTCTGCCACTCCCCTGGGGCTGTGGGCTGTGCCGTGCTGCCAGTTGTGACCTGCTTTGATCTCTCGTTGCTGCCTAACTGCTCCTTTCTCCTTTCTTCTTCTGCAGGGAGTCCTGAATTTTGATCAGATGTGCTTTGAAAAGTATGGCAAAATCTGGGGGTGAGTTTCTGTAGAACAAAACTGCCTGTTTGGGGTGAAAAGAGAAATTCCACCATGTTCTCAGCACTGTGATTCCAGCGGTGGCAGCTTGGAGAAACCCAGGATTAGCACTGGGAAAATCTCCTGCTACCTCTCCAAGGCTTCTCTTCCTCTGGGATTTCAGCATGGTACAGGGCTGGGATGATGGGAGCCAGTTTGGGGGAGGTCATTTGTTTTCAGAAGCTTTGAAAATAACCTCCACTGCTTGATGTCAAACTGAGCCTCGTGCCTTTGAAGCTGCTCCTCTGTCTGTCTTGAGCAGGAAGCAAGCTGCAGGCTGCCACGGTGTTTTTCATCTTGCTCCCTGCTTCTCCCAGAGCTGGGGCACGAGCTACCTTTCAACCTGCTTCCCTGCTCCCTGTGCAGTGCTGGTTTTGTGCAGGGGCCTCTTATCCTGCTTCTGTTGAGAACCTCTCAAACTGAAGCAAAATCGTTGCACAAGAAAAAAAAAAAAATCCTAAGAGACTTCATGAAACCTAGCACATGTTTTTGAAAGATTAAATGTTCTCAAGCCTCTTGAAGACAGCAGCTTCCCTCAGCTCTGGCCCAAGGCTCCCTGCCCTTTAGCCCACACTGTGGCTTTTAAGTTTTTCTGCCTCTGTTGACTGGAAAATGGAGGAGACAGATGAGTTTTTCCCCTCTCATTGCCTCGTAGGCCAGGCAGGGAAATCTCTGCACCCCACAGGTAGGCTCTTCGGTGTGGATTTATTGACTCCAGCTACCAGTTGGAGAAGCAGAGCTCAGACAGCCCAAGTGTCGTGGCAAAAGCTGCCTTTTATCTAAACCTACACTGCTTTGGCAGCAATTTAATACCACAGACGACTGCTGGAAATGCTGGTGCTGGCCGTGTTTGGCCCTTCCTTTCCCTTTCTTCTGCTTTCCTATATACTAACCAGTTTCAGCCTCAGCCCTTTGGATGTTTTCTCAGAGGGGACCCAGGTGGCCCAAAGCCTTTGGGCTCCAGTGGTCAGTGCCATGGCTCTGGCCACAGACAAAGCAGGCTGCTTTTGCTCCAGCTGACCGTGAGCTATGGACTGACTGTGGCTTTCTCTTGGCTTAGGATTTATGATGGCAGACAGCCTGTGATGGCTGTTTTGGACCCCGTACTCATCAAAAATATCCTGGTGAAAGAGTGCTACAGCATTTTTACCAATCGGCGGGTAGGTATCTAGTCCTGTGCTTTGCTCTCCAGTACAGGGTATGCAGCAAGAAAGAATTTCTTCTTGGTTCCTACTCTCCCTCTCTGAGCCCTTCAGCAAGTAGTTGCTCTCTGTTGTGCCCCAGTTTATTGGTGGTACCATCAAAAGTCTGCTAGGGAGGTGTAGAGCCCACTCTGGCTGGAACATTGGGACATCAGCCTGGATGTACCCTAGGGCTGATGTCATTTGTGACTCTTACACTGTTCTGTTTCTATTGTTTGCTGGTTGAGGTGGAGCTGATATGACTTTAAGGGCCAAGTCAACACTCCGTGGTGGGCTTTTGATGTATTTCTGTCCTGTGGAAGGGGGCTGGCAACCTTCACCCATCTCCCTGTATAACCATGTCCCTTTTGCTGTAACCTCCCTGTGCAGAACTTCCGTCTGAATGGGCTCCTGGAGTCAGCCCTCAACGTGGCTGAAGATGAGCAGTGGAAGAGGATCCGTACTGTGCTCTCCCCAACCTTCACCAGCGGGAAGCTGAAGGAGGTAAAGCAAGGGCCACTGATACTTTGCAGCAATAGTTGGAGGAGGGCTGGGGCCATTTTTGAGTAGAGCTTCCCCTCAGACAGGGAAGTCACCCCAACTTCAAGACCGAAGTGCCTGTGTTGTTGGGTGCAGTCCAGCAACGTGGGGAGGGAGGCAGGGGAAGGGTACAGGGGATGAAATGGTGGCACACAAGGTATTGCAGGCTGAAGCTGTTGGCCTTGTGACTTGTATTTTCTTCTTGCTTAAGTACATTGCCCATTTTGCACGTGCCCAGGAGCTGTGGTTGCTCCCAGCTGGAGTGGGTGCTTAGCTGGAATGGGAGCTACGTGTGGATTTTGGGAGGAGAATCTTGCTCAGTCATAGTGAAATTAGCTCTGTGGACTGGCTATTAAGATGAAAGTACTATTTGAGGCTTGGAAGTGGTACCTTCAAAATCTTCCTCAGTCATAGTGAAATTAACTCTGTGGACTGGCTATTAAGATGAGAGAAAGTACTATTTGAGGCTTGGAAGTGGTACCTTCCTCTTCCTCCCCAAGCCAAAGCCTTGAGCAGCCCTAGAGAGCACTGCAGCATTGCCCAGCCTTGTTTGGTGGAGGTGAGTCAACAGTGCCTTTCACTTTGGTTGCATTTCAGATGCTCCCCACCATTAATCATTACGGTGAAAAATTAGTGAAAAACATTGAGAAGAAAGTGGCTGATGATGAGTTCGTGGCCGTGAAGGAGTGAGTAACTGTGTGGGGCTGACAGGAAAGGGTTTGCATTTAGTGTGGGCAAGGGGCTGTTTTGGAGAGCCTGTCCCACACTGCAGCAGAGATCCCATGTCAGCTGTGGAGACAAACTCCATGGTGGTCATGGTCATGGTACCTTCCTCAGTGGTGGGCTTGCTCTGCTCTGCTCCAATGCAGTAACTGCTCTGTTCCCTGTTTCCTTATACTGGGGATGGATTTTGAGGAAGGTGTAGGGCTCATTCCAGAAGCCCTCTAAGATGTGTTATTTTTGGATGTCCTTTTCACAGTCTCTTTTACAGATGGAAATCACAATACAGTCTTTGTTACCCTAGGCTGCAGTTCGGTGGTTTCCAACTACAGCCCACGTTTCTGACACTGAGAAAAACTGGGGGATGAATGCAACCGAGGAGACTTGGGAAAATATAATCTTGGTTATGGCCAAACTAGGCCTGGACCTACTCTGTTAGGACTCTGCATTGAGTTCTTGATTAAAAGAGACTCCTCCTCTCAAGGATGGATGAGCTCTTATTCACTACTCTGGTTGAGTTCATCCCATCCACTCTCTCTTCTTTTCTACCTAGCATTTTTGGAGCCTACAGCATGGATGTGGTGACCAGCACTTCTTTCAGTGTGAATATTGACTCCATGAGCAATCCCAGTGATCCCTTTGTCACCAATATTAAGAAATTTCTCCAATTCAGTTTCCTAAGCCCCGTGTTCGTATTTTTAGGTATGCCAGACTTCATCTCACAGTCCTGAATTGATGTCAGCAGTGGTGAGCACCTGTATTTCCCAGTAGCTCCCTTCGTAGCTTTGTCTTTGCCATAGAGGAGATGCTCAGCACTTTGCAGGATTAGATTCACCCTAGCAGATCTGTCAAAATAGTTCCTCCCAGAAAGCAGTCAGGATTTTTATAGCCCATGTGGGTCTTTGCAGCACCCTCACACGAGCAGAGACCCTGGCTGTAGGGACACGATGGAGAGCTCCTCTGTCACAGAGGGATGCACTTCCTGTGGCACTGTGGCCATAGAGGGGTGGATGGAGAAGATTCTCAAGGGCTGTTGCATGCCAGCCATGGTTAGATTCACCCCATGCCTTTCTGTGCTTTGTGCCACTTTTTCGTTTCTTGGGCCCCTTTGAACTAAAAGATGTTCTTTTGCCTCCTAGTGTTGTTCCCCTTTATTATCCCGGTGCTGGAGAAGATGAATGTGACTCTGTTACCCTCCGAGGTTATGGAGTTCTTCAAGAGTGTCTTCATAAAGATGAAGAAGGAAAGAGAAAAGGAGAGCAGCACGGTGAGTCCAGCCCAGGTGCCCTTTGCACTGTACTGTCCGAGTGCAGGAGCGACCTGGTGGCATCTTCAGAAGCTGTGGTGTGTCACCTCCTCTCCATAACAGCTACCAGCTCACCAAACCTGGGGAGGGCCAGAAACATGCCCCACCTGGGCTTCTATGTGGAGAAAGCATCTGTGTTGGTAGAGGGTCTGAACCTCAGCGTGCACTGAAGCCATGAGCCTGCTCTGGGGCTGTGAATGGAGCAGATCTCAGCAAGGAGCTTCTGCTGGGCAAGGTTTGCCTCCTCCCCACCAGCATCTTCTCTGATGTGCCTCTCTTTCTCCTCAGGACCGGGTTGATTTCCTGCAGCTCCTGATTGACTCTCAAAACTCACACAACAGCTCCAAGTCTGCTGAGGCTGACTCGTACAAAGGTACCTTCTGAGATCTGTCCTCTCAGCAAAGTGGGGTAGTTCCTCGTGTGCCTAAAGGAAGGAAGTAGGAGTCATGATTCATGGGAAATTCAAGGTCTCAGTAGTGGGACCACGATGATGCTTAGGACATGTCAGCCATAGTTTGTTATGTCATGTTTCCCAGGATAAATCCTCAGGTCTGTTTGTGCAACAGAGAGTAAACAGAGTGAGTATCTCCTTACTCCCATTCCCTATTTTATCTTCTCTGAAGGCCAGTGATGTTGGCTGTGTTTCATGAGGCACACAAAGCACATATGCTGCAGGTACCTTGCTCATCTGTGGGCTCAGCCCTGTCCTTCACCCTAGGTAAACTGATAGATTTAGAAACAAAAATTGTCTCAGCCAAGTCCATCCACTTAAATCAAGGCAAGATGTTTGTGAACTTCTCTGAGGTGTCCAGACAGGGCATTTGTGCAACACCCTGCACTGCAGGCTGCACCCTGGCAGCACACTGCTGCAGCACCAGCCCTAAATCCTCTGCTGTCCTTGTTGCCACTGCCACGTCACGCTCAGGGCTGCTGGGCTGCTGATCCCTCAGCAGTGCAAGGATCACCTCACGGCTTAGAGGAGCTGCTGGTCATCTCTTCACCTCTAACTTTTCCTGGCATGTACCTCTATTTTATTTTTTTTTTTTGGAAAAGGAGTATGGTCCCAGAAGATTGCAGAGAAATGCTGAATCAGGGTCAGGCTGCACATCCCCTGATGCTGCTCTTGAAGAAGCAACATAACATTGCTGACCTTGACAGCAGATTTCTGGCTGTACAACAGTGCCAGACCCCTGTGTGGTACCAGAGGGTTAGCTGGATGTTTCCTTCACCAACTGTTCAGTAGTTATGACTAGTGATAACTAGACTGATGTGAGAACCTCAATTCCTGAGGGCTAATCACTGTAGTTTTCAGTTTCTTGTATGTGTTTTCATGCTTCTTTTCAGCATTAAGTGATGAGGAGATCCTGGCCCAGGCTCTTATCTTTGTCTTTGCTGGTTATGAAACCACCAGCTCCACCCTCAGCTACATATCCTACAACCTAGCCACCCACCCTGATGTGCAGCAGCGACTCCAGGACGAGATTGATGCAAACCTGCCCAACAAGGTAAAGGAGGTTTGCTGAGATGTTGGGATGCTGAGGATGTTCTCACCTGTGCCTCGTGGACCAAAGCTCAGTTTGGAAACAACACAGAGTGGAGGAGGTGCTGGTCCTGAGATTTCCCCTCCTCTGGTGTTTGATGACTCAAGTGGAAGCGCTGGGAGGCTTCTGGGGTGAGGGTTCAAGTCCTCTGTGTTCGTTGCCATCCTGATTCCTCCCCCCAGGCCACTCCCACGTACAGCACCATCACCCAGATGGAGTACCTGGACATGGTGGTGAGCGAGTCCCTCCGGCTCTTCCCCGCGGGGGGCAGGATTGAGAGGGTCTGCAAGAAGACCGTGGAGATCAACGGTGTGACCATCCCAAAGGGCACGGTGGTCGTGATCCCAGCCTACGTTCTGCATCGTGACCCGGGCTACTGGCCAGAGCCAGAGGAGTTCAGGCCCGAGAGGTAAGGGCTGAGCTGGGGGAAGAGCTGCCCACTCAACCTCAGCCCCGGGAGTGGCAATGGCAGCAAAAGTGGGGAATGCATGATTATAACATTTAAATTAGGCATTTATCATTGTCTGACATCTAGTCCCAGCATTACCGTGAGGGGAGTTTTATGATCTACATCCATAAACTGTGCATGGAATTTAATTAACTGCATTGAAGGGAGCACTGGTGAGAGCAGCTCCAGCAGCTGTATCACTGAGGGGTTTATGGCCAGATATTAAAACCAGAGCCACTGGGTGACTGGCACAATGCCGTGCAAATCAGCAGGGGAAGGGCAAAGACTGATAAGAAATAAAACTTAAGTTCTCAACTCAGGTTGTGAAACGGTCCTTGCTTAGAAGTCTGTCAGACCCTGTGAAAGGAGACAATAGCCTCAGGCTATGTGGGAGACTTTGGGCCAGCTAGTCACCAGGTGGCCACTAAGACATTGAGAGCTGGCCCAGAGAAACCAAGACCAGCTCTGTGCTCTTGCAGCAGGAGTTGAAATGCCTCCTGGAAGCTAGCCCTGGTGTGGGGAGGTGCTCACCTTTGGGACAGAACGTGGCAGCAGTTCTGTTCCAAAACTGTCATCAAAACATCAGGCAGATGTTGAGGCAGGAGCTGGGTGCTACTGAGGTCAGCTATGGACCACCCAAGAAGGAACCACCCAAATGGGAGTGCTCTGGCAATGGGCGTGTTACACCAGTTACTCCAGTAGCTCCATTGTTTGGGTGAGAAAACAGGCGTGGGTGGCTGGGCAGGAGCTCTTGAGGGATCACTGGCCTTGCTGGGAGTCCATCAGGGGGATGTCTTGGTAGCAAGACACTTCACTGCTGACTTAGCAGGGGTGGGGTTTGTGCCTAGACCCCACGCACCGTGCATGAAAAGCTTTCTGACATGAAAACTAACTGATCACTAAGAAATATTGCTGAAAATGCTCCGTGGCAAATTCCTCTGTGAAGCTGACTGTGCCTCCCTGTTTTTCTTGATGAGGAGAGGAATGGCTGGTGTGTCTCAAAAGCAACCCTGCCTTTAGTCACACGGGGAGAACATCTTTGTGTTCACTCAGTCCTTTGATCTAAAGGGAAGACATGAAGCTGGAGACCTGTGTGGTTTAGGGTTTGAAATCTGGGTTCAGTTTTTGAGCTGAGAGGGAGTTCTGAGAAAAGAGTAGTTATGAAAGCCATTAGCATATTTCAGGTATTCCCTGTTCACCCGATGCACCTGGAGATACACAAGCACCTCCAAGCAGCAGGATAAAAGCAGAAACATAAGGTGTCTACTGAGACAGAAAAAAGGGGCTTAGCTGGGTTCTTCTAATATGCACAGAAACACAAAAAGCTTTTGCATTCCCAGGCCCTTCTTCACTCCAGATCTGAGAGCTGACACATCCTGCACCGGTAGCTCGCTCTTGACTTCTTTTTGTTGCTGTTGTTGCAATCAGGTTCAGCAAGGAGAATAAGGAGGCTATTGACCCCTACACCTTCCTGCCCTTCGGGGCTGGCCCCAGGAACTGCATAGGAATGAGGTTTGCTCTCCTCATCGTCAAGGTGGCCGTGGTCGTCCTGCTGCAAAACTTCTCCTTCCGAACCTGCAGAGACACACCGGTGAGGGGCTGGGGGATGTGTTTCATTGCCTGCCCTTGTCCCAGGGAGATGGTCCTGCAGGTTTTCTTTTGCCTACATCTTGGCACAGGCAGGGAACTGTCTGTCCTGCACCTTAACTGCCTCTGCTCCCCGAGGAGTTCAGACACAGCTAGCTCCAGGAGCACTGACCCTTCTCTGCAGACTTGGGCTTTACTCCGTCACACAGAGAAAGGGGAGGAAGATTTCACTGTGGATTAGAGAGGCAAATAGGAATAACTGTGTTTGAATCTTCTCAGTTAATGTGAATGGTTCACCATAAATACCGATACATATTTTTTTAACCCTCTACAGAAGCAAATTTAATGGTGGTGGGATATGCCAGGCTGAAATCCCTGGAGTCCTCTACCTCTTTGAGTGCACCTAAGTTGCAGGGTGCTCCCTCCCCCCTGCTGAGCTGCCAGTCTGCCTTGGTTCACCCTAGGAAGACCCTGCTCCCGGGAGCAGAAAGGGAATATCCCCCCAGCCCCCTCCAGAGCTACCCTTTGCAACACAAACATGGTTGAGCCCAAGACACCATCATTCGTGTCTTATGACAGTCTCTAAAGGGTAAAAATTCTCAAGTAAGCACAACATGAGCTAAATTTGACTTGGTGACCCTCTCCCACTTTGAGGCTATGCAGGATCCCACCAGATTTTGAGTTTCCCTGAGATCCCTGTGAACACCACATAGAGTGCTGGTGGGTCCAGCCCTGCAAGATGGGGCAGTTTGACAGAAAATAAATCCAGTAGCTGTTGGAAATTATATGTCAAGCAAACCTTCCTGAGAACATGGCAATGCCCTGTGACTCAGAGGCAGGTAGCATGTTTGGTGTTAGCTTCCATCACCAACCCAACTTTCTGGATGGACTGGCACAGAAGGCATTGCCATTAATATATTTTGTTCACAAGTTGAGCTTAGGAAATCAGAGCCGTGGGGGCAGCAAGTATATTCAAAGGACATTTGTTGTAAGAAACAGAAAAATCCTTATTAAATTATTACTTGGCACAAGTGCTCAGCTGGAATCTCTGCAGATTCAGATTGCAACTGAACTAGTAACCTGGAGGTGAAAGACTGTAATAGTCCATTAACAATGCAGTGACCTATCCACCCTCCCCCAAGTCTAATGACATTTTTCTAGTCCTCTGCAATCCATAAAATTGATTCTTTTTATAACTGCCTTTAATTAAAAAGAGACAAGTTAAATATGTATTGTATTATTGGTGCCCATAGGTTTATGGGGCTATTTCAGCCCTTTTTTCTACAGAAGATGTCACGTATATCAGATGGGAGTGGGAGGGGAAAATTCATGCCAGAACATCCCTTTGGAATATTCATATGGAAGCTGCATCCTCCTCTGATGGTGCATTGGGCTCCAAGCCACATTGCTTAAAGTTCCTGAACCCAGGCTTTCTGGGATGTGGGGGTTTTAATGCAGCTTCTCAGGCTGGGGATGTGTCACTCGTGTCCTGCTGGGGAGAAGGAGAGAGGCATCAAGCTGATGGAGCAGACTTGGTAAAACCACCCGACCCTCCCTTGAAAGAGGACTCCCTCCAACACTGGCTTTCAATGTTCTTTTCATTGAGATTTCCAGCCCCCCCTCAGGCAGCCCGTGGCTTTTCAGTGCACGGGTGCTTTTTCTTTCATGCTCAGCCTGAGCAGCAATCTAAGTTTCGTTCTTCCTGGAGAGCTTATAGCTCCTCCAGCTCCCATTACAATCTAGCTCCCCTTAGCACTGACACACTTCAGCATTAAACAGAATGGCACTGCGTGCCCCTCCTCAGCTGCAGCTCCCCAGGTGGCTTTCAGCTGTTTTGCCCTCCACTTGCAGCCTGTTGATCAGTGCAGCTCTTCATACCATGCCATGGGAAAGGCAAAATTCACCAACCAGTTTATTCAAGAGCTGAGGGTTAGTAAATCCCAGCTCGTTGCTGTTTGGCATGAGCCACAGTGATAGTCCTGCTATAAATACATCTGTCAGTTAGGAAATGCACTGAAAACAAAGGGTGGCTGAGATGTAGTGGGCTGTGGGAGTCCTGTTGGTATCACCACTGTCCTTTTTCCCAACTTACGTGGCTATTTTGTCTTTTTTTCCTCCTGCTCAAGATCCCACTGGTTCTGGACACAAAAGGTTTCATGCAACCAAAGAAGCCAATCGTCCTGAAGGTGGTCTCCAGAGCCCGTGGTGGTGTGGAGAAGTGAAGGAAGTGGACAGAAGAAGAGAAGTGGGACAGATGAGAGACTTTTGGTTGATGGTGCCTTCTCTAACTCTTGAGAGGAGACCCAGATTCCTGCGTGTGCTGCAGAAATGACAATGGTGCAAACCCCCATTTCACACCTAGGGCATTAAGGCTTTGACCCAGCATCATTACATGAGCATCATCCTAATGAAAACTACCCCCAGATCTCACTGTCCCTGATCACAATAGGTGTTTTGCAAGACCAATTGCACTCAAGTTATTTGAGCTTTTTTTTTTTTCTCTCCCTCTGAAGAGGCACTTTTCTAAGCAATTTGATTCCAGACACTGTCAGTCTCTTCTGGCAGTGTAATTTAAATCAAGATAGGGAGAGCAAATTGCACATAGTTAAGTAATGCTGCCATTGCTCCTCTTCCTGCTGGGTGACTGTAAGTCTTCTGGTTTGATTCTCCTGGGAATGCAGAGTTGTCCAGGGCTATTTCCTCAGCTGTGTGCTGTGACCCCGACAAGTGTTAAGATGATCATATCCTTGCAGGAGTGAATACCTGCAGCAAATTTTCTGAATGCTGATTTATTTAAATTTTCTTATGATTTTAGATGGCTTTTGCATGCTTCAGAACACAGATGAGTTAGCAAGGGGAGCCCAGAAACAAGCAGCTACCCCTAATGGCTGAAGGTTTTCAGAGTGGGAGAGGAGTGCCCCACATGTTTGCTTATTTAACTGCAAACGTGCAGCCACCTCCCATAGGAAGGACTGTCAGCAGAGGCACTGCCTGCACTGCTATCATGGTGCCTTTTGGTCTATAATTTATATTAGGCTGTTGTAAGACAGACTTAACTGAATTAATAATGATGCAGGGTGCAGCACTGAGAGCCTTCAGATGGAGAACCTTAGTCTGGAAGAAAGCTGTTGCCTTTTGCTTTTGAGAGCTGGAAAGTCTTGCTAGACTGTCATTTTCTTAGACTCTAGAAGACCTGTACACTCACGTTTCTGATTATTCTTCTAGAAAGTGCTACTGGAGCACTAACTGAAATAAAAAGCTCACTTAACTCTTGTGTAACCAGCTGATGCCAGTCTCTGCTTTGGCTCTCTCCTTCGTGCAGAAGCAAACCCATCTGTAGATCCCAAAAGCCATTGGCCAAAGAGTGATGTGGTCCCACCACCTCTCCCAGCTGGGCTTCCTCACTCTGGTGGGAATCTCAAAGGATCCTCAAAAACCAATGCCAGAGCAGAGATTGAAGCTCACTTTTGCAATTCATTCTTCCACTGTCACCTCATAGCACCACAAATTCCTGAGGGTGTGGTCTTGCTAATCAAGAACTTGTCTTTCTGTGAGAGCAGAGGGATTGAGTCCAACATCTACTCAATGCTGCAGACCAGCTGCCCTCACTGCAGGGTTTAAAGTTCCTGATGGAATCCCTGAGTATCATCAGTGGTGAGAGCTGCATCTGGAGATGCAGTGTTTAAGATAAAACATCCCAAAATAAAGCTGAGCAGAGTCATTGCTGCTGTGACTTAGTTCCTATTGCAAAATTTGGCTTAGGAACCTTATTCATTACATGGCAGGTTTTATATTTCTTCTATATTCTTTTATATATAGATAGTCTATTATGCATATATTATTATATACTCTTTTTATCCTTTCTGTATAGTTTAGGAACTGAGTGAAAACCCCAAAGGAGACATAATAACCTTTCTGCAGCAGATTAAATTCCCTAGTGAAAAGACACCCTTGCCTGGAGGTGTAGGGCAAGAGTAAGACTCTAGAGAGTCACCAGTGAGCTGGGTGAGAGGGTGAGAAAATTCCCAGCAGCTCTGGCAGCCGTGGCTTCCCCTTCTGCCTTCACAACCTGCAGCGGTGCAGCTCCCTTCTGCCACTAATGTACCAGAGTGACAATTCATCTTCATTTTCAGCTGCCACTGTCCCCTTTTCTAAAGCTGTGGCACTGTGTTTGACTCCGATGGCACATCTCAGGGGAGAATGACAAAATATAGAAACAGTCAGACCCCTGGGAGAACAAACAGCCAAAAAGCACTTGCACCATCACAGCGGTTCACAAAAAAGGGGCATGGAAAATCCACAGGTCTCTGCCTTGAAAGGTGACCAAGAAGATGAGGGTGACAAAGCCACAGAGAGGGTCACAGGTCAGGGATGAATTAATAGCCTCGTTGGAGGGAAGGCAGCTTGCCTGGTGACAGCCAGGGAAGGTTTTGCCTCCTCACTCCACGCCGGCGCTGGAATTAATCACTCACATACAAATGTCAACACCACGGAAAACATCCTTCAGGATAATTTCTCTCACAAAGCTACTTAACATTTTGGTAATACACAGTTCACTTGCAGGTGGCAAAGGATTTTTGACCTCTCATCCCTGTTCCAAGGCACCCTGGCCCGTGGCACCCCACGCCGATGACGCAGGCACAGGGAGGCTGCTGTGACCAGCAGCACCAACGTACCCATGGAGAGACCAAGGGGCCAACACATGACACTGCTTCATCTCCTGGCCACCACGGGGGGTTCTGGCCAAGGACAAAGGATGCTGAGGGGTGCCCAATCTCATCTTCTTTCCCCTGGATTCAGTCGTGCTTAAGGGCAGAAGGTACGTGCCTCTGCTGGTGCCCACTTGCCTTGGAGAAGGTTTGGCATCCTTTGAGGGAGGTTTTGCTGTCCTCAGAGGGAGGTTTGCCACATTTTGGCTTTGTGGAGTGGCAAGGGGGGACCTTGCAGCAGGGAATCACTTGGATACAGTGAGTTTTCCAGCAGGCACAGCACCCAGGATGCTGTTTCTTGGCTTTCCTCCAGGCTGAGCAGCTATTTGGGGTTGTTCTGTGTGATCCCTTTCTCATCCAGTTTCCAGAGGTAGTGAGCATGCTCCTCTCCCCCGTAGCTAGAGGGAAACAGAGCTCTGGTCCTCAACAGCTCTGTGCCTCAGTTTACCTGCATGTAATTTTTTAAAAAATAATTATTTACAGCTAGGCAATAGTAAGCTTTGGCATGGGTCCACTTTATGCCATGGCTTGACTCAGATCACACCAAGGTCACAGAGTGAGCAAATGGGTTCTCTTTTGGATGCCACTAAAGCAGAAGGAGCTCATCCAACATGCTCCAGCTGCTAACAGCTTGAAGCAAGACTTCTATTCTCCTTAAAAAACCACGTAGGATGAATACAGGGCCCTCAGCATCACTCTCTTGCTCTGCATATCTCCCTCCTATAGCACAGCACTGCTTCCAAATGCAAACACAGCTTCAGCTTAGCAACTCCTTCTGTAAGGAGAGTCCACCATCAAGTTGCATCATTCAAATCTGGCCCAGTTCCCTCGTGCTTTGATTATCTGGGCTTGTTTCAAGGGAGAGCACCCTCTCGCACTTAACATGGTGCTCACTCATTGAAGTAGTATCTCTGCCAGGCTTAACATGTGCTGGAGTGCTTCACTGGCTCTCAATCCTCCCCCATCCCTGCGCAAGCTGGAGAGTGGGAGGTCCCCAGGTCAGTCCCGGGTAGAGTGGTCGTGCCTGCCACAATTTGCAAGATGCTTGGAGCTTTCCTGACCCTGATCCAGGCTTGCATAGAGGTTGTCCATATTATTGCTGCTGCTGCTGTACTGGACCCGCTGCTGAAAAGAGACAGGCTTCCAGACAACCTTATTGAATGCTCGATTCGGTTAAAATCGATGGAATAATCAGCCCACAGAGTCTGCCCGAAGGTCAGGAAGCAATGATTTTTTTTTCCTGCAGCAGCTTTGGTCCTGAGCTCTTGTTTTGGAGCGAGGATTGCAAGCCAAAGCACTTCAGCAGGTAGGTTATAAAAGTGTTATGACTGGTGATATTAAGCCGACAGGCTAATGTAACAAGTGCATAACAAGGTCTCCTAAAGCAGAGAGGCAAATTATTTGCAGCACTCATTTCATGGACAACTCAAAAACAGGCTGGTGGTGGACACGGCGTGGGCTGGGCTGGCATCCTGCAAGGCAAAATGCAGAATGGCCTCAAAGAGAAGCTCACCAGCATGGAGGAGGTGGAGGATGCCAGAGAAGAGGGTGCCAGACTGCAGAACAGCACCAGCTGGGGAGAATCCCTTTTTCTCACTCCACTCTATCTCACGGCCCCGAATTTCATCCCCCCCAGCCTCTCCCCATCTCTGTTGCACAGAGACACCTCTGTGGCTCCTCAGTCCTGTGTGTGACAGCAGAAGTCCCCTGCAGAGCTGAAGGACACAACAAGGGGAGGACCCATCTTTACTCCTCTCGTGGCTCAGGCACAGGCAGGCTCTCAGCTGGACACACGACACACCGTGGACTGAATTTGCAGAAACACTTTGATCTTTCATTTGGAAGCCCAACGATTCAGTCCCCCACAGAGCTGAGGTAAATGGCCACGATGCTGCTTCCTTGGAGTCAAGGTTTCAAGTCAAACAACAGTTCATTTAAGCACACTCTTAAAGTTCATATCATTTGAATGTCATATGTCAAGCTGTTGCTACTTCCACTGAAGGCAAATGGATGTTTATTCCCCTCACAGCTGGCCAGCAGACTGACATTCATTACTGAAGCCTTGAAGCTGCCAGGGGTTGCAGCTACTACCTGTAGGATCACATCTATCACAGCCTTCTACCTCTTAAGGGTTACTCCCTGCAATATCAGCTCTTGAACTTCAGGCTCATTTTCCAGCCACCGTTGGTCTGCAGTTGGGTTTTTTTCCTATGTCTGGTCAAGGTCAGGCATTGTTTTTTGTCCATTCCCTCCAAAACCATTTTGTTACCTCATTTTTCGTGACTTCTGCTGGATTCAAACTTGCTCTCACTGCACCAGCCCCTGTTTATGAAGTGGATGTCCCTCTGCTTGATCTCACAGCTGTGAGCAGCAACCAACCCAAAGGACCACGGTGCTGGTGGCCCCTGGATGCAGCTCCAGCCATTCTCAGGACCAGCACTACAAATTCTGTTTCAGGTTATTCATTAAATACCTGATATTTTGCAGCTTACTGGGCACTGAATTGTTCAATT